CCTGTTGGCCCAAGGGTCTGCCAATCTTGCCTCTAACCTTTGGGTGTTCAAGGGTCTGGGGGTAGCCAACATTGGAAGAGCTTTTCCTCTCCTATGCACAATTTGTATTCAGGTAGTGTGGGAATGATTTTTCTGAGAATCACAAGTTGAATTTTGCATAGCCTTGTAAGTTAGTCATATGCTTTGAGATAATTTAAAATCATGTATTCAATCTGTTTTTGTTCTGTGCACTCAACTTGTTTAAATTTAACTAACCTTTAAGTAAAACAGTATAGGCCCGGAGAGATGACTCAACAGTTAAGAGCACTGGTTGCTCTTGCAGAGGAGAGGTTTGGTTCCTAGCACCCAAGTGGCAGTTAACTGTCTGTAACTCTAGTTCCAGGGGATATGGTGCCCTCTTCTGGCCTCTCTGGGCACTGCCTGCAATGATGCACTTACATATAGGCAAACTAATCATACACACAAAAATAAAAATAAATAAAAATTGCTGGGCATGGTGGTGCACGCCTGTAGTCCCAGCACTTGGGAGGCAGAGGCAGGTGGATCTCTGTGAGTTCAAGGCCAGCCTGGTCTACATAGTGAATTCCAGGACAGCTGGGGCTACAGGGAGACTCTGCTTCAAAAAGACAATAAATAAATAAATAAATAAATAAATAAATAAATAAATAAAAATTTAACAAAGGAAAACAATGTAATCAGTCTTCTAATGCTTTGGACTTCCAATATAGTTAACTCTTACAAACTAAGCTTAACACATAGCTTTAATCTTATATTATGCTCACTATTTCTCTTTTGTGATGACTTTTCCTTGTGACTCATTTATGTTTCTGACTCAGAACAATGTATGTGTGCATAAGATGTGCTAATTAAAGCTTAAGACGACTGGCTAGATGCAGAGACATTGAAAGCAACATGCCTCCACAAGAAATGCTGAAAACAACATGTGGGTATAAGTTGATAACATCTGTTTATGGTTTTGTGTACTGTTCTGGGTCAGACTGGTCAGAAAAATAGCTTCTTCATTTGTAAAACTCTGGTAAAATATTCTTTTTTAAAAAAATTTATTCATTTTACTTTTATGTGTATGAGTGTTTTTCCTACATGTATGTAAATGCAACCACACATGCAATGCCCGAGGAGGTCAGAAGAGAGCACTGGATCCCCTGGAACTGGAGTTATAGACAGTTGTTAGCTGCCATATAGGTGCTGGGAACTGAACTGGGGCTGTCTGGAAGAGCAGTCAGTGCTCTTCACTGCTGAGCCATCTCTCCAGTCCCTGATAAAGACAAAGGTCCTTATTCTTTTCCCATACTATGCTTGATGTGCTGTTCAACAGATATAGGGGAGGCTCTTTGTTGAGAAGAAAGAGAAATCAGAATATGTGAGAACAGATTAAATGACTTGGTTAAATGACTCCAGGAGTCAGTCTCTTTAATGTGGTGCCATCTCAGTAGTGCAAAAGAACCAAGCCAGCTAATTAGTAACAACCACATGAAAGGCAGAATGCCAGAAAGTACTGGGAAAATCAGTTTGTGTACTGCATTGTACATGTAATTTTATTTTAAAGGAACATTTTGATTCAATTATATTACTATAAAACTTTTCCCTTGGCATCATAAGAATCACTGTGAGGTTATTAATGCTTAGGAAAGTAATGTTTTTATTTATAACATGACTATTAATTAACGGAAGTATCTCTCCTTCTACCAGAGAATAAACTTAAGCCTAGAGATTTCTGTTGACTTGGGTCTTTGTTGTTTCTCAGGTGTCTAGAGCAGTGTTTGAAATCATCATTGCCTCTCACACAAAGTATCAACGAGGCTTCCTCCTCCTTCAAAAAGATGATTGTAGTAAAATAAAAAAAGTAGATAAATAAATATCTAATCTCTTTAAAATATTTTATTTATTTATACATACATATAATGCATATTGATCACATTCATTCCCCCATTTCCTCCCCTCTAATTCCTCTCCATCTCTGCCCCCACTTTTCCCAATTTCATGTTCTCTTTTTCTCTCTCTCTTAAATAAACTTTAATGTTCATTGAGTACATTTAGTGCTGCTTGTATGTACATGAGTGTGGGACCTTCTACTGGAGCGTGGGTAGCCTCTCAGAACCCTCAAGAAAGTTAATTTTCCCATCTGCAATGGCCTTCAATTGCCCAAAGCTCCTTAAATACATGTGGAACTTCATGAACCCCTCCCTGATCTATGCTGGGATTTTTGATGGCTTGATCTTGCACAGGTCTTGTGCATGCAGTTCCAGCTGCTGTGAGTTCATGAGTGCACCTGTGCTGGTCATGTCTAGAAATACTTTTTCTCTATAGATGTCTACTCCCTCTGACTCTTATAATCTTCTTGTCTCCTCTTTCATGATGATCCCTGAGCCTTGGGGGAGGGGCATTTGTTATAGATGTCCCATCTGGAGTGGAGCACTCCATAGTTTCTTATTCTCTGCATGTTGACAGGTTGTTGGTCTTTGTATTAATTGCCATCTACTGCAGAAAGAAGCTATTCTGATGAGGGCTGAGAGAGGCACTAATCTAGGGTATAAAGATAAGAACTTAGGGGATAGCTTATTACATGTCTGTTTAGCAGAATAATAGCACTAGGTTCTCGCCTACGGCCTATGACCTAGTCAGCTATGGGGTTTTGGCCTAGTTAATGGTACCACACATGGGTTCCATCTTATGGAGGGAGTTTTAAATCCAATCAGAAAGTTTTTGGTTATTCTTTTTGTTTTATTTTATTTATTATTTTTATTTTATGTGTATGCGTGTATTGCCTGCATGTAGGTAAGTGCACCCATGTCGTGCAATGCCCGTGAAGGTCAGAAGAGGCTGTCAGATCCCCTGGGACTGGAGTTACAGACAGTTGTTAGCTGCCATGTGGGTGCTGGGAGGCAAACCCTGGTCTTCTGCAAGAACAATCAGTGTTCTTAACCTCTGAGCCATCTCTCCAGGCCCAGTTTTTGCTTATTCTTGTGACATTCATACCACTATTGCACCAGTGGGCATAACTTGCCAGGGAAGTCATTATTATAGCTTGTAGGGTTCACAACTGAGCAAGACTGATGACTTTTCTCCCCAGCTATCATGCATAAAACCTTCCAGGACTATGCAAACTAGCCAGTAGGAATAAAGCTCCCATGTTGGTAATAGTTTGATTTCTTCATGTTGTACAACTCAGGTATGTGGTATCTTCAGCAATAGGATCTTACTATCAAGTTCTGGAGGGTAACCAAGAGCAACGGCAATAATAGCCTGTAATGTTTTGGGGAATCCTATGGGACTCCACAGACCAATAATTCATAAAGAGGTAACCCATACCTGGAACTGGCCTTTTTATTTGATAGCCTATGATGTCTGGGGGAGGCATTGCTCCTTGCCCCGTTATGGGGTAACTCCATTTAAACTCAGCTTCTACAGTAGGTTTCCTATCATGTTTTCACAGGAGTTATCCTTCTCCATTCTCCCTCCTCTACTTTGCCCTCCCACCCCCACCCCACGTAAGGCTTCCTGTTCCATCATTCCCCTTTTCCTCCCTTCATATTACTTGCATTCTATCCCCCTTTCCTGGAAGTCCTCCCCCCATGGCTCTTTACTAATTTCCTGCCTTCTATGAATACTTTAAACACACATATCTAAAGATTCAAAACTATCACCCACATATGATAGAGAACATGAGGTAGCAAATACTTTTTTTTTCTGGGTTTGGGTTACCTTACTCAGAATTATTTCCAGATCTATCCATTTACCTTCAAGTTCCATAATTTCGTGTTTCTTTGCAGTGGAATATAATCTAATTTCTTTTCATTTTTTGGTCTTTTTGAGACAGGGTCTCCCTGTAGCCCCAGCTGTCATGAACTCACTATGTAGACCAGGCTGGCCTTGAACTCATAGAGATCCATTTGCCTCTGCCTCCTGAGTCCTGGGATAAAAGGCATATGCTACCATGCCCGGCCCAAATCTCTTTTCTTAAAGATTTATTTTATTATCATTTTTAATTATGTGTGTGTGTCTGTATGTGGGTGTGTACATGTGGGTATGGGTGTCTGATAGAATGTGTAAATTGCAGGAGAGCCATATGTTTCCTTAAAGGAAGTCATAAAAACATAAATTCCTCAAGGTGGCCAAATGGCCCGAATTGGTGGCTTTGCCTTTGATCAAGCATTATCAACTGGTCACTTCCCTGGCTGACAGAGACTTTTTACAGAGTCAACTTCTCTCCCACTGTGCTGCCTACTCATCCTGAGGAAATAAGCTCAAGAAGAAGACTCTCAGTTACCCCCAGTGACACTGGCACCTAGCAGATGCCTGCAGCTGCATTCAGCAGAGTTCCTATATAAGTCCAGATCAGTCCACCTTGCTTTTGCTTTGCCTGGTTTCCGAGGACAGCACCGGCTCTTTGCTATAGTCTTCTGAATAAAGGAATATATTCCTTGCCTGTTGCAGGTCTGGCTCTGGTTCTTATTTCTTAACTTTAAACGCCTTCCTTTTTCTACGCTTCTAAATCTGACAGTGTCCATGGAGGCCAGAGGCATTGGATCCCCTGGAGCTGGAGTTACAGGCAGTTGTGAGCTGCCTGCTCCTCTGCAAGAACAGTAAGTGCTCTTAACCTCTGACCCATCTCGCCAATCCCAAGATATCTCGACTTTTAAAAAATTATTTTTATTTTTAAAATTTTTATTTATTTAGTTGTATTTTCTGTGTATGAGTATTTTGCCTACATGTATGTAAGTGCACCCATATCATGCAATATCTACAGAGGCCAGAAGAGGACATTGGATGCCCTGGAACTAGAGTTACAGATGGTCTTTAGCCGTCATATGGGTGCTGGAATCAAATCTAGGTCCTCTGCAAGAGCAGCCCATACGCTTAACAACTGAGCCATCTCTCCAGCCCTCCAAATTCTATTTTAATTAGCCTTTGATTAGTAATTCTACCCTGAGGTACCTGTTCTCCCCAAATTAAAGAACTGCACAGATATATATGTCCAAGAATATTTATTACAGCAATACTTATGAAAACAATATAAAATTCAAACAATAGAGTTAGACTTAAATAAAACAGGGAACCATCATGTTGGGGGTATTTTACAGTGACTTAAAGTCATGTTTTATAGAAAACTCAATGATCTGGGAAAGACTGAGCTATAAAGTTTAAGGTTAAAAAAATTCAAGATAAGCTGGGCATGGTAGTGCACGCCTGTAGTCCCAGCACTTGGGAGGCAGAAGCAGGTGGATCTCTGTGAATTCAAGACCAGCCTGGTCTACATGGTAAGTTCCAGGCCAGCTGGGGCTACAAGGAGATCCTGTTTTAAAAAGACCAAAAAAAATAAAAATAAAAAAAGGGTCAGGTATAAAATGCGGAATGCAAAAATTCAAGTACAAATACACATAGATACATATATACATATGCTGCAAATAGAAACATGACAGAAAGAAAAATATAGAAAAATCTTAACACTAGTTATTTCTGTATAGTAGGATTGTGAGAGGCTTTTTTTTCTCATCTGAAGTTTTCTGCATTTTTCAGTTTCCCCCACAACTAGGTATTGCTTTCACATTTATAAAAACAATAAATACGTGTTAATAATAATAATAATACAAAAGTGAGATGAGAGTCCAAAAGATACAAACATAATATTGTATGTTTGAACAGCTTTCTTTTTTTTTTTTTTATAAATGACTAAATCTTCCAGCTAAGAAGTTTTTACTTCCCGTAGAAACAGTACTTGAATTCTTTCCTTGACTGGATTTGGATGCAGGATCCACTGCAACATATTTTATCTGGAAACCTCCTGCTGTGATGGAAGCATCACTCAGAAACTTCAAGGTCATGACATTTCCTGTGGGGAGAGGGGCATACAAAAGAATGAAGTCTTTACCCCAATTTGATTTGTCTGACCATGCAAGGACTTATCATCTCACAGAAGAATATATGAAAACACAAATGAAACTCCCAGAATGCAGAGGTGGATTCACAAGTGTTAGTGTCTGTAGTTTCATTGACAAGTGGAACAGGTGAGAGATTTTCATATTTTTAACTCTGGCCCTCTAATCTCATATACAAAATTCTGTCTATTCTGTTTTATAAGATTCTCTAAGGGGCTGGAGAGATGGCTCAGTGGTTAAGAGCTCTCACTGCTCTTCCAAAGGACCAGGGTTTGATTCCCAGCACCCTCATTGGTGGTTCACTACTGCCTATAACTCCAGCTCCAGGGGAATCTGCGACCTCTGGCTTCTGAGGACACACACACACACATACACACACACACACACACACACACACGTAATTAAATAAAAATAAAATAATAAAATAAGGTGTTTGCCTAGCATGCCTGAGACTATAGATTTGATACCTAGTAACATAAGGCAACAAAAAAGGTTCCCTTTGTAGAAGGGCTATCCATTGAATTATAAGAAAATTATAAAAGTATAGTTCAAGCCCTCAAGGATGTTTGGGCTAAATGATGGGGACCAACAGCCTTGCATTATTATTACTTTTTTTTTTTTTTTAAGTTAAACCCTAGTTAACGCAGAAGAGAGAAAATTGTATCTCAAGTAAACAAAGAGCTTCTAGAAATGAAATACTTTTAAAACTCAGTGTTGATTTGATCATTCTTGGAGTACATTGTCTGTTGAAACAAACAGGTGTTATAGAAAATCAGAGACCAACAGCCAAAGTCAGGTGAGGAGAGGGAATTTAATCTTTCACTCTTGGGCCTGACCCATGGATCATTCTGTAAAGGAGCCAGCACCCCACTCAAGTTTTGGGGGGCCTTTATACTCATATGTGAAGAAATGCAAGCAAAAGGTAAAAAGCTCATACTTGATAAATAAGTAGTTTACAGGTTTATGACCACAGGAATGTGAAAACCCTGAGAAACAAAGACTTTTATCCTGGGTAATCATGGCGGGGGGCAGGGGAGAAGACTGCTGTTCATCTCCCCCATTTTTCTCTCTTTGGAGCTTTTCCTGCTCCAAAGTTCTTAACTACCATTACATTCCAAGAGCTTTTTAGCATCCATCTGTACTCTTCCACTTCCATTATATAGGAACTATGTCAAGTTTCAGACTTTCTTTGAACTAATGCTTTTTGTTGTTGTTTTTGAGACAGGGTCTCACTATGTTGCCCTGGGACTTGGTATGTAGACTAGGCTAGCCCCACACTCCTGCTTCTACCTCTCGAGTGCTGGGATTGCAGGAGTGCACCACCACCCTCAGCTCTGTTGTTTGTTTTATAAATAGATTTTCATGACTTAACTACCTTTTAAAGCTTGAAAGCAGGCTTCTTTTAAACTTTCTGTTAACATAAAATATGTTCTTGAGAAAAGAGAAATAAACAAGAGGTTTATAGAAAGTTTCCCTTCTCTGAAAGAGTGTGACAGTAATGAATTTATAAGGTTTAAACATTAATCATTCAAAGATAGAGCAAAAAGTTTTGTAACAGCAGCAGCGAAAATTCCTGGTCAAGAGAATATAATCTCTGGTTTAGAGATGGTGACCCAACATTCAGTCAATGACCTGGCCACGGACCACCCCTAGGAAGGTGGGTTCACCTTAGACAAGCAGACAGGCAGAATAACCAATACATTACTGAGGTGGTGAACTTTTTCTGCCTAGAATCCCCCAGTTTATCAGACAAGTCTGCCTGCTTTTCTGAAGTGTAACCTCTCCCTTTCTTTCTCTCGCTTTTCTAAGCAGCTTGCCCTAACACTTTGGGCTGCTCCAACATTTTGGGCTTTCTTACCCTTTCTCTAATGCCTCCATCCCTGCCATTTGTCTGACTTCCATGTTGGCTTAAAAGGCATGGTTACTTTTCCTTTTCTCTTCTATTCTCTTACTGGGGCAGCTGCTGAGAATTACAGCTCACCTGCCCTTTGGATTTTTCTTTTAAATTCTGATAAAATTGTCCTTAAGCTTCTGTTTCAGTCAGTCCTTAAATTCTTTTATTAATGAGTCTAAGAACCCCAAGAGGGGACCCAAATTACCCTGTATCAGTTTCACATCTTGTAAAAATGACAAATAAGAATTAAGTGTGCTGGAAGACTGGGTGTGGGAGGATGTTAGAGAGAAATTAGATTTGCAATGCAATGGAGCTTTGCTGCTTTTAGGTGCAAAAGTGTGATAGTTTTATGACTTGGAAGGAAAATAGAACATATCAGGATGCCAGGTGCTGGTGCTAGTGCTGGAAACAAAAAAGAAAAAAACAAAGACTTCTAAGAAAGCCAGGGTTTTAGCTGAAAAAGAATAGCAGTTTGGAAAATTTAAAGTGTTGTATTGCTTATTGTAATCAATTTATGCTTCTAAGGGGGCATTTTAAAAGGCATATTTCTTAGAACAAAAGTACAAAAAATAATTTTGGTTGTATCTGTTGAAATCTAGCAAACATTCCCTATTATGTCTAGCTTTTTGAGATAAACTACAAGAATTATTAGCATATTAAACATTCTTGTGGTTTGCCAATAAAGAAACCCATTTATCACTGTTTAATTCAGTGTTTCCACATTTATTTGACCCTAGAGCCCTTTTCTTATGGTGTTAACTCATTTAAAATATTACAGTCTTTTTTAAAATTACTTATTTTAGTCCAGGCATGGTGGCGCATGCCTTTAGTCCCAGCACTTGGGAGGCAGAGGCAGGCGGATCTCTGTGAGTTTAAGGCCAGCCTGGTCTACATAGAGAGTTCCAGGACAGCTGGGGCTACAGGGAGTCCCTGTCTCAAAAAGAGCAAAAAAAAAAATTATTTATTCTGTCTTCATTTTTCAGAAACAAAATCTGATATATATATTTAATAATTATGTATTTAATAACCATATAATTAGAAGAGGCATTTCATTACAATAGCATTGACATATTCAATAACAATTTCCAGAGCTAAGATGCTTCTCTTTCAAAACTGGCTGTAAATTATTAGGTTTACGTTGAGTTAATAGAGTTATACAATATTGTACTCCACATAAACCCTTTAAGACA